CACACACACCCACACACTGATGTCTAAATCATACCTACATATTGGGACCATGTTGAAGAGTAAGTCCTGAACCACACACACACACACACACACACACACACACACCCCCACACACACACACACAGCCAAGAGACACACAGTCAAAAATTAACTCTTGCCAAGAAACGAATGTAAGTTACTGCAGCAGCACATTCAAATCATCAGTTCAAATCATAAAAACCATAGTCTGACCTTCACTGACCTCAGCAGTGCCAGATCTTCATCTCATGACTTTCACTTCAATGGAAAATTTACTTTCACTTATTTTCAAAGATGTGCAATATTCCTAACATTAAATAACTAATTATAATTTTTCTTTTTATTATTATTTTTACTAATAAAATATGAATAAATACAATATTATTTAATACTTAATAATAGTAACAATAATAATAATTATTATTATTATGAATAATAATAATATTATTAATAATACTATTACTGTTAAATATAAATATTAAAATTAATAATTAAACCAAAATAATATATATTACTATTTTACTAGGGCTGCACTTTGTGTTTATATCAATTTGGCTATATAATAATAATAATAATAATAATAACAATTATTATTGAATTTTACAATTAATAAGTATTATTATTTTTACCGTACTACCATTCAGTAAGTTTTTTTTTGTTGTTTTTTTTGGAAACAAATTAACTTTTATTCATCAAGGATGCATTAAATTGATTGAAAGTGACAAAAACATATATAATGTTAGAAAAGATTTCTATTTCAAATAAATACTGTTTTTCGGAACTTTCTATTCATCTGTGAATCCTGAAAAATAAAATGTATCACAATAAATGCAGCCTTGCTGAGCAGAATTGTCTCTCACTCATGTGTTTGTGTTGTTTTCAGTCATCAGAGGACGTTTGTGCTGGAGGTGATGGGACGCCACTGCGGGTACGTCATGCTCACTTCCTCAGGTGTTTTATTCTTCATAAGGGCGTCTGGTCTGGTCTGATTCAGTCCGATCTGGTCTGGTCTGATCCAGTCTGATCTGGTATGGTCTGATCTGGTCTGGTCTGGTCCGGTCCGATCCGGTCCGGTCTGGTCTGATCAGGTCCGGTCCGGTCTGATCCGGTCCGGTCTGATCCGGTCTGGTCTGGTCCGATCCGGTCTGGTCCGATCCGGTCTGGTGTGGTCTGGTCTGATCCGGTCTGGTGTGGTCTGGTCTGATCTGGTCTGGTCTGATCCAGTCTGGTGTGGTCTGCTCTGGTCTGGTCTGGTCTGCTCCGGTCTGGTCTGGTCTGGTCTGATCTGGTCCGGTCTGATCCGATCTGGTCCGGTCCGGTCTGATCCAGTCCGATCCGGTCTGGTCTGGTCCGATGCGGTCTGGTCTGATCCGGTCTGGTCTGGTCTGGTCTGATCCGGTCTGGTGTGGTCTGGTCTGATCCGGTCTGGTGTGGTCTGGTCTGATCCAGTCTGGTGTGGTCTGATCTGGTGTGGTCTGATCCAGTCTGGTCTGATGTGGTCTGATCTGGTTTGGTCTGGTCCAGGCTGATCCGGTCTGGTCTGATTCGCTCTGATTCGGTCTGGTGTGGTCTGGTCTGATCTGGTCTGGTCTGATCCAGTCTGGTGTGGTCTGCTCTGGTCTGGTCTGGTCTGCTCCGGTCTGGTCTGGTCTGGTCTGATCTGGTCCGGTCTGATCCGATCTGGTCCGGTCCGGCCTAATGTGCTTTCTATGGACATACAATCACTTTTGTAAATTTCTTTTAATGCGGACATATTAACGTCTTTGACCCAGTGCTTTTAACAATACAGATTGTGCCAAAGCAGCTTTACAGTATCGAATAGGAAAATAGTGTCAATAATGCAGTTAAAGGCAGTTCATCGTTGAATTCTGTGACGTGTGAATCAGTGTTAATTTTGATTTAGTTTTAGTCATAGTCTTTTGACGAAAATGCCATTTAGTTTTAGTCATATTTTAGTCATCTGAATAGTTTGTCAACTAGATATCATACAATTTTAGTCGACTAAAATCTAAAGGGTTTAGTTAAATTGTAATGCATTATTATTATTTTTTATTTCTGTTTTGTTTATTTTAGTACATCAGGTTAAGCTAAAGCTTATAAACTAAATGAAATAAAATATTTTTTAATTTGTGCATTTTAGATATTTAATACATTTTTTATAGATTTGTTTTATAATTTCAGATAAAATACATTTTATTTCAATTCATGCAGAATATTTTTATGGTTTTAGTTTTAACTATAAAAACCTGACACTAGTAGAATTTCACAATATTTGCCGAATTTAAAATAAAAATCCACATTTGAATGCAAAAACGTTCGAATTTGAGGTCAGTGGCGCACAAGATGCGATGACGATGTAAGTGCCATTGCTTTTTATTGTTTTGTTAGTTGAAGCCACTAGATGCGGCAAAAAAGAGAACAGAGATGTTGTTTACGTCGAAACTGAAACCAAGCCGTTCACACAGAACACATATTTTGCGTATATCACTATATCACCGTTACCGTAAATATATCAAAACTTAATGTTTGATTAGTAATATGCATTGCTAAGAACTTCATTTGAACAACTTTAAAGATGATTTTCTCAATATTTAGATTTTTTTGCACCCTCAGATTCCAGATTTTCAAATATTGTCCGATCCTAACAAACCATACAGCAATGGAAAGATTATTTATTCAGCTTATTCATGATGCATAAATCTCAATTTCATAAAATGTGCCCTTATGACTGGTTTTGTGGTCCAGGGTCACATATTAGGTTGTAGAAATCTCCTGACTCTGTGAATGGATGTGTGTGGTTTTGCAGAGCCGCAGTAAAGGCTCTCGTCTGAACATCGTGATCATCGCAGAAGGAGCCATCGACAAACACGGCCAGCTGATCTCCTCCAACTACGTCAAAGACGTGAGACTCTCAGACGGAGCTGTTTGTCAGTTCTGTGCTGGTTTGAGCTTGTTGTTCACGTGTGTGTGTCTGTGCTGGTTTGTGTGTGTAGCTGGTGGTTCAGCGGTTGGGTTACGACACGCGGGTCACTGTCCTGGGTCACGTTCAGAGAGGAGGAACGCCATCCGCCTTCGATCGAGTCCTGGTGAGTGCATTAAAAAACGTCATGTTGAAATGTGGATTTCACATTCAATTTTGTGTTGCTTCAGTTTATTATGCAGGGCTCGACAGTGCGAGCATTTCACTCGCATTTGCAACTAAAAATAGATGTGTGCGAATTGGAAAATGTATTTAGGAGCATAAGTCACCTTTATTTATGTAGTGGGGTCAAAGGCGAAAAAGGGTTTAGGCATAAAAACAATAAATGTAATACTGCTTTAAATTGTTGTTGTTTTTCCCCAAAAAATTTAAAAAGTTTAATTGCAATTTCTGAGCAAAAAATAAATACACATTTCCCCCTGATTTACAGAAGAGAGCCACTAAAATGTAATTCAGTGTAACAATCTTGTCAGGCATATTTACAACAAAAATCTATTTATGACACATTAAAAGACGAATTACTTTCACCCCAAATACTAATTAGTTGTAATTTTACATTTTTAAAATGTGCCGCTATCCTAGATTTTGCCCATTTGTCAGTAAGATTTTTTACTCCTTTAAAACACAATAAAATTTAATGTGCTCCCCTATTCTTTATTATATTTTAATATGTACACGTCAGAATAAGCATGTTGTTTGAATTTTTACATAAATATTGTGTTACACTGAATGACAACGTAACATTATTTCAACCACATTGTAACATTTTATTCTCCAAAAACTTATTTGAAACCTTAAAAGTAGACACTTTATTTGTATTTAATGTGCTTTCTATGGACATACAATCACTTTTGTAAATTTCTTTTAATGCGGACATATTAACGTCTTTGACCCAGTGCTTTTAACAATACAGATTGTGCCAAAGCAGCTTTACAGTATCGAATAGGAAAATAGTGTCAATAATGCAGTTAAAGGCAGTTCATCGTTGAATTCTGTGACGTGTGAATCAGTGTTAATTTTGATTTAGTTTTAGTCATAGTCTTTTGACGAAAATGCCATTTAGTTTTAGTCATATTTTAGTCATCTGAATAGTTTGTCAACTAGATATCATACAATTTTAGTCGACTAAAATCTAAAGGGTTTAGTTAAATTGTAATGCATTATTATTATTTTTTATTTCTGTTTTGTTTATTTTAGTACATCAGGTTAAGCTAAAGCTTATAAACTAAATGAAATAAAATATTTTTTAATTTGTGCATTTTAGATATTTAATACATTTTTTATAGATTTGTTTTATAATTTCAGATAAAATACATTTTATTTCAATTCATGCAGAATATTTTTATGGTTTTAGTTTTAACTATAAAAACCTGACACTAGTAGAATTTCACAATATTCGTCGAATTAAAAATAAAAATCCACATTTGAATGCAAAAACGTTCGAATTTGAGGTCAGTGGCGCACAAGATGCGATGACGATGTAAGTGCCATTGCTTTTTATTGTTTTGTTAGTTGAAGCCACTAGATGCGGCGCTGCTGCGTTGCTCATTCAAATATTGCGGAAAAAAGAGAACATCAATACAGAGATGTTGTTTACGTCGAAACTGAAACCAAGCCGTTCACACAGAACACATATTTTGCGTATATCACCGTCACGTGTCGCACAAGAGAGTCGCATGTTTAGAAAGCCATGTAAAATTAATGTAAGTTCAACTTAAAAAAAAAAAAAACATGTCTCGAAAATTTAATGGTTTTATAATTTCAGATAAAATACATTTTATTTCAATTCATGCAGAATATTTTTATGGTTTTAGTTTTAACTATAAAAACCTGACACTAGTAGAATTTCACAATATTCGTCGAATTAAAAATAAAAATCCACATTTGAATGCAAAAACGTTCGAATTTGAGGTCAGTGGCGCACAAGATGCGATGACGATGTAAGTGCCATTGCTTTTTATTGTTTTGTTAGTTGAAGCCACTAGATGCGGCGCTGCTGCGTTGCTCATTCAAATATTGCGGAAAAAAGAGAACATCAATACAGAGATGTTGTTTACGTCGAAACTGAAACCAAGCCGTTCACACAGAACACATATTTTGCGTATATCACCGTCACGTGTCGCACAAGAGAGTCGCATGTTTAGAAAGCCATGTAAAATTAATGTAAGTTCAACTTAAAAAAAAAAAAAAACATGTCTCGAGAATTTAATGCGTTTTTTTCCCATCCCACTGCATCATGTTTTTAAATGAAAAAAGTAACGTGGTTGGCTTTCGTTTCTTTGATTTTAAACTATTTATACCTGATGCTGTTTTGTTTAAGTAACTTAATTGTATTTGGTTTATAAACATTATGCAGTTTTTCACAGATAGTCATGTTTTTTTATTGCTTTATAGTTGTTGTTTTTTTTCAACTGCTTACACAGAATTTTTCCTTGTCGCACAGTTTCTGAAAGCTGACACTCAAACAGCAGAAGCACACACCAAACCTACAAAACCAGACACTGATTCTCAGACTTTGACTCGGTTTCAGTTTCAGAAAACACTTTTTGCAAAACACAGCACAATTCTCTGTGTAACACACACAAATCTAACAGGAAGTATCTTGATTTCCTTTTTCAAACACGACCAATCAAAATGCATCACTAACTCCTCACATGTGGTTTACTGAACACCAACCAATCGTGCTTTAGAACAGACCTATAAACACACAACTACACAACTACACATGCTTGATGTATTTCTTCTCTTTCGTACTGTGTGATACTGTATTCACAACCACAAATGCTTACGGTAACAAAGTTTGCTTTCAATCTGGCTTTCGTGTTTACCGTGGATTTTTCAACATCTCTCTGCCATTTACTTTCAATCTTGAACAGAAATGTACACAGGAGCTCATGAAAGAAGAGCTTTAGGTTTTGAAAAGCTGTGTGTATATGATGATATATCCAAAAATATAATATTATGGCAAAGGTGTTTAAAATGCTTGCTTTTGCAAGAGATGTGAGGCACTTTGTGTGTGCAGTTATTGGAAAGTTTTGAAAATGTGTGTAAGCAGTTAAAAAAACTGTAATAAATGTGCGTTAGTAATATTTTGCCCGGTGTTGCCCCCCCCAACTTAAAGGATAAGTTCACTTCCAGAATAAAATTTGTCATCCAAGATGTTCATGTCTTTTTCTTCAGTCGCAAAAAAATTAAGTTTGAGGAAAACATTGCAGGATTTTTCTCCATATAGTGGACTTCAATGGTGGCCAATGATTTTAACGTCAAAATGCGGCTTCAAAGAGCTCTACACGATCCCAGCTGACGAATAAGGGTCTTATGTAGCAAAACGATCTGTAATTTTCCGAAAAAAAATTAATATTTATCCACTTTTTAACCACAAATGAAAGGTCACGCGTGATGTAGGCGGAAGTACCGACCCAGTGTTTACAAAGAAACATGCAAAAAAGTAAAATGCACTTTACAAAAAACGTAAAACGACGATGTCGGATGATTTTAAAGATGGAGGAGAAAAAGAGATGTAGTTTTTAAACGAAGTACAAAGATGAAGAACTACCAGCGCGTGACCTTTCCAACATGATTACGTAATGTGTGAAGACGCGCATCGCAGAGCTAGAACAAGCCGAGCATTTGTGGTTAAAAAGTGGATAAATTTAAACGTTTTTCAGAAAATGACCAATCGTTTCGCTAGGTAAGGCCCTTATTCGTCGGCTGGGATCGTGTAGAGCTCTTTGAAGCCGCATTTTGACGTTCAGTCCGCTGGCCACCATTGAAGTCCACTATATGGAGAAAAATCCTGTAATGTTTTCCTCAAAAAGTTAAAAGTGCCCCTATTATGCCATTTCTACAGTTCCTAATATTGTTGGGAGTCTCCTACAATAGGATTACATGCATGCAAGGTCAAA